GAAGCCGTATCTCACTATCACACTCATTAATTACATACGCTCGCGTGACGCGAAGAAGAATCCCGTACCTCACTATCACACTCATTAATTTCAAACGCTCGAGTGACGCGAAAAAGAATCACGTACATCACTATCACACTCATTAATTACATACGCTCGAGTGACGCGAAGAAGAAGTCCGTACCTCACTATCACACTCACTAATTACATACGCTCGAGTGACACGAAGAAAAAGACCGTACCTCGCTATCACACTCATTAATTACATGCACTCGAGTGACGCGGAGAAGAAGCCCGTACCTCACTACACACTCATTAATTACATACGCTCGAGTGACGCGAAGAAGAAGCCCGTACCTCACTATCACACTCATTAATTACGCACGCTCGAGTGACGCGAAGAAGCCCGTACCTTACTAACACACTCATTAATTACGTACTCTCGAGTGACGCGAAGAAGAAGCCCGTACCTCACTATCACACTCACTAATTACATACGGTCGAGTGACGCGAAGAAGAAGCCCGTACATCACTATCACACTCATTAATTACATACGCTCGAGTGACGCGAAGAAGAAGTCCGTACCTCACTATCACACTCACTAATTACATACGCTCGAGTGACACGAAGAAAAGACCGTACCTCACTATCACACTCACTAATTACATACGCTCGAGTGACGCGAAGAAGAAGCTCGTACCTCACGACCACACTCATTAATTACATACGCTCGACTGACGCGAAGAAGAAGCCTGTACCTCACTATCACACTCATTCTGTTCGGTTGACTTGGCTACTTTCGCAGGCCAAAGGCAATGAGTTCTTTAAAGCCGGCAAGTATGGCTTGGCCATGCGCCAGTACAAACGCGTGGGCGTGTTGTTGGGCGAAGGCCTCAGCGGAGACGTCTCTGCCGAACTGACCACGCGGTGCAAACTCACAGACCGATTGGCCAAGGGCAACCTGGCGATGTGTCAACTCAAAAGTAAACTGTAAGTGCGTGTTGGTTGCGGCAGGTGTGTGTGGGTCTGTGTTTAGGCGTGGAATTTAGCATGTGTGTCCATGTATATACGACCGCCAACACATGTAGTCATACACAAGCAGCAAAGTGGCGGGGTGAGTACGTGACAGCGTCAGAGAACACTTCCTCGCCTTGTTAGTGCCGTGCTCTGTCTATGATTTTATGAACAAAAGCGTTAGCTTTTTCATTTGCGCGTGCATGTATAACTTCTTTTGATATAGGTGACGAAGTAGTTATTAATCAATAATTGTGTCAACCTGTAGTCTCAGTATTAGCACCGATCGTCATAGAGACGTAGGTCCAAAGTGCAAACCATCTAAAAGTACTCCTGTATGTATGTATGTATGTATGTATGTATGCATGTATGTTTATATGTATATATA